ATTTGAAAATGACTTTTTCATGAACTAAAAATCTTAGGCATTGTCCTTTTGGAAGATAAGTGCATTAGGGTGATATACTTGTGATGGACCTTTTCTATAGTCTACCTCTAAATAATGATATACTTTCACCTAGTCTAGAATATGGGACATCAGCATGCCTCTCCTTGCTCCATTACCCCCATCTTGCATTCTCCTTGACTCTCTCTCCTTTCCCCGTCCCACCACTCCCATTAAGCCATGTCACCATTCCCAACCCAACTACCTAAACAAATTTTTAGAATCTCTCTCCTAAGGTATCTTCTCTAAGCCGTTAGGAACGCATCATGTTACACCAATCTATATCCACTCAATCTCATTTAAAATATTCATATTAATTAATAGATAGTTAAATACAGTGAATATTTAATCCAACCCATATTCAATGGTTATTAAATAGTGTTATTACCAAAAGTTAATAAATACATTTAGTAAATTACCAAAAATAAATATTCTTATTAGTATGGTAAGTAAATTACCAAAATTTAATAAATATTGTTATTAATTAACTCATCATGAATTTTAAAGTATTTTGGGTAAATATTGTTATATTCATTCATGTTATTTAACAAATTTTATAGAAATTGAAAACTCTTTAACTAATTTCTATAAAATTGAGAATTATATTTAATAATTATCAAAAAGTATAAACTTTTAGTTATTGCTATTATTATAGTTAATAACCAAATGTAGATGGGGAATATAGCATTATAATTTTGGAAAAAATGAAATTACTAATTAATTTATATTGGAAAATAAAAGATAAAGTAGTGTAATTTTGTTAGAAAACTACCTAATAAAATATTTAATAACAATTTAAAAATAATTTTGTATAAATCTCCATAATTACACATATAATAAAATTTTCATAAAACTACATTTCTGTAAAATAACACTTTAGAAATTAAAAGATATAAAACTTTTAAAAGTTTATTAAAATGTATTAAATAATTATTGAAAATTATTGGAATATTTTGGAAATTTTAGGAAAATTTATTACATTTGATAGATTTTAGAAAATTATTGAAAATTATTAAAGATAAATGAGTATGGGAAAGGGAAAACAATAAATTTGAACCAATAATTACACAAATTATTAAGATAAATTAGTATAATATTGGAAAAAGAAAATGATTGATTAGTTTATATTAGAAAACATAAGATAAATTAGTGTAATTATGTAAGTAAACCATTTAAAAAGAAAATAAATTATTTAAAAACAATTTAAAAATAATTTTGAATAAATGTTCAAAATTACACAAATGTAATAAAATTTTCAAAATTTTCATAAAATTACATTTTTGAAAATTAAAGAAAATTTAGTGTACTTTTAGAAATTTACCATGCGGTTGATAATCTGTATATCCTTTTGATCATTTTTTACATCAAATTGAATATTGGGTTGGCAAAGAGTGGATGCCTTGCCTTGAATGGACCCGCCCGACACTAGGGATGAGGATGGGGAAAATTCAAGGATTCCCCATCCTTGATGAGGAGTGGGTGCCTTGCCTTGAACTCTCCCGACATTGAGGATGAGGCAGGGAAATTCGAGGATTCCTCATCCCTAGCAGGGAGTGGGTGCCTTGCCTTGAACCCACATGACACTCGGGATGCAGTAGAGTGTCTTGACTATGAGGTTGGGATAGGGATGTGGTGCCTCGCCCTGTTGCCATTCCTATATAATTGTTAATTATTAGTGAAATTAATAAAAATGTTAACTTTTGTAATTATTTTTATTTGTTTAAAGTCAATTAAATTTTCATTTAAAAATAATGAAAATAATAACAATTATTAAAATTACTACAAATGAAATGATTAATAAAATTAAATTTATTAAAATATTTGTTCACATTAAATTAACAATAATTATTTTCTATAAATCAGCATTAAATGAAAAATACAATTATTAAAAGAATAAATATTAAAAATAACTTTGAATACTTTTAGTTAATTAACAACACATTTTGGTTATTAATTTATCAATTAATTAATAGTAAATAAAATTATTAAATCTTTCAAATTTTTCTATTCATCATACAGGTCCCCGCCAGGTGTAATAATAATAATAATAATAATAATAATAGTAATATTAATAAAATAATAAATCAAAATATTAATAAATAATAATAATTAATAATTGTAATAATCATACTATTATGTAAAGTATTGTTATGATTAATTATTAAAAATTATTCATAATAATAATTAATAATTAATAATAATAAAAATAAAATAATTAATGAACTATATTAACTTTCTTTTCCATGAATTATATTGTTTATGATTATTTTCATAAACTATGCCATTGACTTTGTTTTAGGCATTTTTAATATAGTTTATTTTAATTTTTGTTTGTCAAATTGATCGGACCATTATTTTGATTCTTTTAATTTATTTATAAGTCTTGATTGTTTCATTCTTGATTAATAAAATACATGCTTCCCCACTAGTGTGTATGTATGTATAAATTAATAAGTGATTAATATTGTTTTAAATTTTAAATTTTAAATTTTTATTTTATTTTAATGAATTGTGTATGGGCTACAATCACTTGATCTCTCACTAATTAGCATTTAGTGACTAGCTAATGTGGAGTATGATCATTGGCTCCACAGCCTACTACGCATTCGACTAATCCCAATTTAATCAAGCCTTTTCTCAAAGGCCAGGAATATTGTGTTTTCCATTTTTGATATCAGCTAACATGACCTTGCCATCCAATGGGTCGGGTCCCATTTTAGAAGATGTGACCGGCGGAAGTATGACACAACCAAATTATCTTAGCTGTCTTTGGTGAAGAAGACCCAAAGCTTCTAGTTAGTTTGTAGGTAAGCATGTTTAAACCGGTGGATAATAACAAACAATGGATATAATTATAAAAAAGGGTTCGACTATGATATGGAAAAGATATGATATCCAAAAAACAACTGACCAATAAAATGGAATCATAAACGTGATAGTGAACCATGTGTTATTTATCAAAATTCATGGGTGAGTTTTGATTGGTCAAAACTCTTTTCATATCATATCTTTCACGTATCATAGATTTTCCCTTATAAAATATCTGGTTTTTTAATTTAAAGACAAAGTTATATTATTTATAGAGTCCTCCCCATGGTATATCGCTGCAATGTAAAGCCTACATCGTGCAGTAAAGGGGGGATAAAAAAATGCCCTTTTTAATATGGCTAGAACTGTTATTACTTTATTTACTTGGGAAATAAAAGAACACAGGTAAATGCATTTATCTGGGTAAGTGTTTATCAAGAAAAATTTACCTAGATAATTACATTTACCTGGACAAATAACTTACAGAAAAGTAAACAAGGCCTAAATGAAAAAAAAAAGGTAGCTTTAGCAGAAAATAGTGCTTTTTTACCTCAAATTAGATAAGCAGTACCTCGGTTAGAATGTTTCCCACAAGCGCTTAAGTTTGAAAAAGCTACTTTTTCAAACAAGCTCTTTGAAAAAAAAAGAAAGATTTTTTAGTGTCACCTGATCACCAACTTTTTTTAATTCAAAATAACTTATTACAAATGCTAAGGGCTAAATAGAGTTTTTTCCCCCTACTTTTTTGAATGGGCTTTTTGGATGTAAAAGTCCTTTTTGAGCTTTTACACTAAATGATGTTTTGATTGACTTTTGTCCTCCCTAATATAAAGGACAAATACCATTGGAGAAACACTAAAAAATAGGATAAGTGGCTGAACAGGCTTTTTGGATGGATCCGATCTCATAAAGCCTAGAGGCAAAAACAGCAAGGCCAGAACCCTCCCAAACGGGCACCAGATGTCCAATTAGGATGCTTTTGGCTTCCATAATCTTGCAATCTATTGTGCTTCTTTTACATTGTTAGGATGTAACTGATGAGCTGTTAGGATTGTTAGACAGTGAATGCCCTTAGCTCTAATCAACATGATGTACATTATGACATTTATTGTAAATGAATAAAGTACATATTTGATTCATGTTATTATGGTGTGTTTCTGTGTAATACCCTTAAATTGGACACATATGAGACTCGTGTTAGTTTAGAATATTCATAGTCGTTGGAAGATCTGGGGAGATTTATCCTACCAAGGTTGACACTAGTGTACTGCCAAGTTGGTTCGGGGTGGCTTGTCTTAGTTGCCAGGGTGAAACCTGAGGTACATGCAGTGTGGGTTTTCTTGAAACCCTGAACTGGACCAAAATTCCAGTATTGCCCTGGACCTTGGAGATAGATGGGAAAAACTGGAATGTTACACCTAACCTATAGACTTGATTATGATACTGCACTAGGTGTCGGATTGGACTGTCTTTGATATGCCAATCAGTGAAATCCTTAGAGAGGGTCAAAACCTGGGTATGTTGGGACAGTCCGAGAATTCATCTGAGTGGGTGATCATAGTGATAGAATAAGCCCCTTTGTCGAACAAAGTGAATGATCGGGGATGCACTTTCTTTGTGCTCACTGTCCTATTCGATTCTTGCTGAAGAATCACTAGTTCTTGGTAAAGAACTACCTGTTGATCCTGCCTCACCCTAAGTTGTATCATCTTCAGTGGAGGGAGGATTTGGTACCCTCTTTGGGCGTGAACACCTACATCGGGAGGAACATTCTTGTGTGGATTCCGTATCAGGTATATCCCTCCCTTATTTTTTGTTTCAGATTTGGTTTGGTTTAATTACAAGAACGAACCTTGAAAATGTTGTTTTCTAAATTGGGAATAGGATTCACGGATGGGAGTAAGGAAATTTTTGAAATTTCGCCCAACATTCCTACAATGTTCGGCCATCCATATGATAGATCTCTCATCCCTTCAAAGATCACCAAATCGGACGAGATTAGGCCTGATCTATCTCAGATTGTAGGGCCAATTGGTTGTCGAGTTAAAATGATACAATCTATCTGGATCCAAAACATAAACATACATACATATATATATTCACAACTTGATGACAATAAACAAACATCATCCAACTCAAAGAACTTATTTAATAGTCAAAGTGTTCGTTCAATTTAACATTCACAATTCTCATTTACAGAAACAGATCTAACTATTACATTTACCAGCATAGCAAAACAAGAGAACTCTTTCTCCATAAGTTGCTATATATTCTCTATCCATGAATAGTCTTTTCCTCAGAAGAAAACCAAAGATATTAACAAAATATAAGCAATCAAATAGTAGTAAAGCCACATCTAAAACCAAAACTAAAAATCAAACCAGGCAAATACAGCATGAGATCTTACATCTTTAACATTGTGAGCTCTTGGGCCTTTGAAATTTGGCTTCACCGTGACACTTCCATGATGTATGAAAGGGCGGCCACGTGATTGATTTGGCGGAGGAATGTAGGAGTGAGTCTCGGGACCTCTGTAGTCAATCTCGTACACTTCCCTATCTAAATTATTCATGGCATCTGAATCTGATCCTCCTAGGGAAAAGTCATTGTGTCCATACTTAAGCCGATCGAGCAGAATATTATAAATTCATATACGAGAGGAAACAAAACTTGAAAAGAAAACTATGACTAGATCTGTATGAGCGCGTACCATCTGCTGCTAAGCTTGGTGGAGGCAGAAGAGCAGAGAGAAGAAGAACAGTGGCGATGAGAGATTTGAGCTTCAACATCGGTGGCTCCTCTCTGGTTATTCGGAGGCGAGAAGGCTTTACAAATGATGGTTCATATAGCACGGAGGAAGCACGGAAAAGCTGTTTAATTTCAGCTTTTGGTAATTGAAGCCATCACCATCGGCACAGCAAGCAGTTGCAAGGTTGTGATGTGGACGAGTTGCGCATTTATGGGCCGGAGGAACCACAAATGGCCAAAGCTGAGTTTTTTTGGTTTTGGGTCAGGACTCAGCAGGACAGCCCCATGTGTGAATTCTACCTACTACCTACCTTCTCGTCTCTCTTTCGGCAAATTTAAAACCCTCCCGACCTCCTCCCTCTCCTACTCCCAGTGGCTCAAACTGTCAAACGAAATCCAATGTTTTCTTTCATTCTTTCCTTTATACTACAATGACTTAACATACCTACCCCGGCCCACTGTATGCTTCTTAAATTAAAGGAATTCGAGTCCTCACCGTATTAGCAGGCTTAATCTTTTCGTTGCTGGTTTAATAAGTTTTACATTTGATCAAAGATTTACTTGACATTTACACTGTTCTAAGAGAAAAAAAAAAGTAATTCTTTATTAACTTTCTATTTACATTTCTTTATTTTTCGTAAATTTTCTTTGCTTGCATAAATGGGTATACATTTTATCAAACTAGATGAAATAGTGAACCATTTTATTAACTCTTTTGGGGTGTTTTGTTTCTTGGGTTTTCTCCCAAGAACTCTAAAAGAATGTTATATTAGCTGGATGCAAGAGAGTTCCTTTCTGAAGAAGACGATGATCGTTTTGCTACAAGTCAAAGAAAGGGAAGAGGGACTGAGAATAACGTCCATGACCTACAAATACACCTTCTTCATCAAAACAGTATAGCAGCCACACGTCCACACGTGGGGGTGGCGACAATAATGTCCATAGCTCAAAAACATGCCTACAGATTGTACGAAAAATCCGGACATCATGTGCATGACAAAAAGCTCCACAGAAAATTTTATGGGAAGCTGAACAGAATTACAGAAGTAACAACATTTTGTCCCGGCCCCTTGGAATTCCGATCTACTAGAAGTGAGATCCAATCAAACGAATTATAGAGGAACATTTTCTTGGGGAGTCAATGATCCATCAACGATGACACCATTTTTCTTCTCCTTATTACCAAGGTTCAATTACATTCTTCTGACTTCTCCCACTTGACTTCAGGTCCTACGTGTAAAGCTTTTTACATGCATCAGTTCCTATGAAAATTCCAATATTCCTAATTCCTTCGTGAAATGTGAGAAAGACATACATTCATTAAAAACAACCATTAGAGAGGGACCAGCCGATGTAGATGATGGATTGACCCGGGTCTCGACCATTTATGACCCATTTGATGGAAGCGTCCACGTGGAGTTTTTTAGATAGAACATCAATTCTATGGGTCTTCTTATTTAACTTGGCATTGAACCTCAAGTACTGGAAAGGGTTAGGCCCATTATTTTTTTGTGTGGTCTCCATCCATTGAACGGTAGGAAGCATGAGTAGCCTTTTGAACTTCATGACACATTCAAACAAGATGATAGGGATTGTAAAAGGTAATTCTTTTCATTAAAACGAAAGAAAATAGATTTGTAATGGTTATCTTGTCAAAGTGTGTAAGAATGGAGAAGTTTCACTTATGCTTAGTTTGGAAGGAGTATAAATACAAATATGTGCAGTATAAATACATATAAAATAATATAAAATATAAGGTTTTGCACTTTACGTATTTATATTTGTACTCCTTCCAAACTGAGATTACTTTAGTCCGTTTTGTCATGGAAATTTTCTTAACAGAGTAGACTCAAATTAAATTACATTATTTGCATAAACTTTAGTTATAAGATTGCATTTTTTTTTTGGGACGCTAGTCATAAATTTGGTATAGAGAAAGAGTTTTGACCACTTAACTAAACTTAGAACAAATATAGTAGGTTGGTATTTCTTAATATGTAAAGTTTTGGCCTCTTGGGTAGGTCCAGTTGAACCCAACCAAATTTCAGTGGGTCTGTGGGTCAAAATATATAAATCCGTCGAAATTTTAACTATAGATTGGGCTTGTGAGTTTGGATGGGTAGGCATACAAGATGAGCACACTGAGTAAATTGAGTAAGCACTCGGGAAATTTTGTGACACTTGTCCGGATGTAGTAGGCATGTTAGGTAAGTACAATGAGTGAGCACGTAATAGCTGTGTGATACATGTCTCAGTTAATGTGCTTTTTATCTAAATGTTTTTGTTTCGTTAGACAGAAATTATCCATTATTTTATTTTTTTGTCAAAATAATTAAAAATAAAAACAATAAAAAGAAAAATTTAAACATGTTGGGAGTTGGAACTCATTTATATTTTTTTATTATTTTTTATTTTTAATTATTTTGATAAAGATAATAAAATAATGGATAATTTTTGTCTTAACGGAATAAAAACGTTTGAATAAAAGGCACATTAACTGGACATGTGTCACAACTATTACATGTCCACTCATTGTGCTTACCTAACGTGCCTACTACATTTGGACCCTTTATTGTGCTTACTAATTACTAATATGATCACAATGGTGTGCCTAATGTATCCCGTCTCTGACGCTCTCGGTTGACAAACTATAATCCATTGCTCACTCATCAGCTTGCCTTTATTTCAACTACTCTAGTTGACAATGGAAAAGAATAGGACATTTCTTTCTTTTAATAAAAAATATTATTAATACGGGCCTCATGTGAGTATTATGTAATACAAAATATTAGTATCATCTATCTATATTTAGCTATCTATACTATATTATATTATAAAGCGATTAGGTCCAACTCTTTCTTTCTCTCATTCTTTCTCTTCTCTTTAAACCTCTCTCCTTTCTACTTTACTCTTTTCCTGTCACATTCACACTCTCTCTGTCCCCTCCATTTCCCTACCCAAGCCTCTCAATAAGCCACGTGGCAAGAGATATATTAATCCAAACCATTTTATTCTAATTGGAAACTAAACCAAGAGTAACCTAGTTGATTAGGAAACTTTCCAAAACAATATTTGAAAATACTTAAAGCTATTATTCGATACCCCTGTTTTGAGAGTGTCAATGGACTAAAAACTTGGTATAATGTGTCGATGAACTTAAAGCTTGGTATAATGTTTTGAAAATACGTAAAACATATTGATATTCCTGAACTTTCTTCGATGCCCCTGTTTTGAGAGCACCGATGAACTACATACATAAGAATGAATTGGTTTTTGTATCATACTTTCACCATTTTTTGTATCACACTACCCTATGAAACTAACATTATTTTTCAATGCCATTATCGTTTCTTTACATCAATTTTCTTACCTTTTTTTCTTCTTTATTTTACCCTGTTTTGAAGATTTTGAACATAGTCCGAGATGGATGATTATGTTTTCCATTGCTTAAGGGTGGCCACACATTTTAGGGCTGTCAATGGACCGGTTTTGGATTGGGCTCCATTCAAATCAAAATCCATTTAGACAGATTGAACGGACCAATAAGACATTGAATTTGGACAGACTGGATAGACTAATATGACATATTGGATTGGACCTGATCCGTCCATAATGAATTTATATTGGATTGAGCCAATATCCATTCCATTGATAGAAAATAAGAAGATAGTTGTCAATGGAGCAGGTTTGAGTTGAAACCAATCTAAATTAACAGAAGGTTGAACAGATTGGACAGTCTCTGGATCGGTCTACAATGATCCAAAATATTCATTGGACTGGATGGACCAGATCCATTTGTAGTGGATTCACATTGGACTGGACCGGATTGGACCAAATCCAGTCCAATTGACACTTCTAATGCATTTGGAGAGACTTTGAGCACAATCAGATATCGATCCTGTTTAAAGATTCATGGTCTTTTATTGTTTACAGATGTCATGACTCATGATTAGTCTCACATTTCTGTAAACATCATTTTCGGGTTTGTTTAGAGAAGTGGGTCAAAGCCAACTCTTTGAAATACCTTTCTCAGAATTTTGAGATTGGTTTCAGGTTCGTTTTCAAATTGCTTGACGTTTGGATTTTCACTTTTTTGTTTTTGAATCCTCAAGTGAGACAAGGCTTCGGTAGACCATTTGTTTTTGAATCCATGTGCAAAATGCAATTTTTCACACATCTTTGAATTCCAAATATAGTGGAAGAGTTATATATGTGACTAAAATGGAAAAATATAAGGAAAAACCAAAGGAAAAAAAAATTATTTGGGTTTTCGCATAACCCGTTTTGACGTGCGGGTGAAGAAGACAATTGAAAATGGGACGGTCTCGACCCGTTTTCGACAATTATCCAGGTTGCATGTCGGGTTTCCATCCGGGTCAATAAGTTTACCATGTATCCCGTAGTTATTTTTAGAAATACCAATTGTAAGCAAGAGTTTGGTTTTCCAATGAGTCTCCATTGATCAAAACGCAGCCAACCACCACATATAAGCATTTCCAAGAGATGTTTGCGCTTCCCAACAGTTTCTCCCGTAATAATCCTTTCAGTTGCCAAGTGTTAGAGCATTTTATCATGCTACTTAATTTCGTCTAAATAAGAATTCATTATAATTTATTTTGTTTTATTACTTTATTAATTAATTATTTAATGAACGGCAATTTTTTTATAATTAATGAATAGTAATTTAATTATTACCATATCCATTTATTATACCTTAAGTGGGTGAATAGTACCACTAATCGGGATGCAATTTGGGTGCGCTCGGGCTGGGGCTTCTTTAAAATTTCAATGGGCCCGGTGTAATATCTGAGTTGCACCCCTACCCACTAAACCATAATTTAGGTTGCTTTATAAAACTTATGATGTTTTAAACTTTTTTTTAATGAGTTAATTAATTTTGTAATTTTAATTAATTAATAGCAATTCGGTAGAATTTTTAGTTTTGCTAATTATAATTAATATTAAGTGTTCCATCAATAACTCAATTAATTATATTATAATTTTAATTGAACATAATACAATCTAATTAAATTATAAAAGCAGTTTATTTAATTAAAATTTTCACTATGAAACTAATATTAAAAATTAACTTCCTTCTTGATAAAATTAATAAAAAAAGATAAAATAATACAAGTCAGTATTTTTTTTAATCTTAATGTTTATTTCCAATAAATTGTAACCACAGAATAATTAAAATGAAAAATAATAAAAAGTAAAAATTATAATTAAGTACAAAAATACTAAATATAAAAATAAAAAAGAATAATTATAATAAAAGTAATAAAATTTGTTTCTCTTAACAAACAATAAGCCTAATAATTTTAAATTTTGTAGAATTTCAAAATATGATTAATAAAACGTAAAAAATAAAATTAATTGAATAACCCTAAGAATCAATAACCTTAATTAAATTAAATTAATTACTAAGGTTAATTAATTAGTTATTAGTTTCTTAATTACATTAATTAACTTAACAAATTTAGTTCACTTAGAAAATGATTATATAATTAAAAAGATTAACA